TGTGGGTCTTTATACTGCGGCTAGCATCCATGCTAACAGCTAACAGCTAGCTGCTCTATGTTTATTATGGAGGTGATCCTCCAGGTGCTGCGGTGATCTGTGAACACAACCTGTTCTCATCAACGCTTCCATCTGTGACTTTTTATAACAACATTTCCATCCACAGACGAACACATGCGGCTTTTTCCTTCAAATTCAGGTTTGTTGTTGTCTGAAACATAGCCAGCGGTGCACCAGTAAATCAGTCCAAAACTCACCCCGTGCAGAAAGGTTCCGCGGTGCGCAATACGATAAAATGTGTTTTTAAACAATTTATTGGTTAATTTTTGGAATTTACCCGATTTCAGCTAAATGAATGTGTTAAAGTCCTGGCCCTATGATAATAATATAATTATAATATATTAATATAAATAATAATAATAACACTAATAATAATAATAATAATAATAACACTAATAATAATAATAATAACACTAATAATAATAATAATAATAATAATAACACTAATAATAATAATAATTATAATGCATTTTTCCCTCACTGTAGCCATAGCTGCCCTGGGGTCAGGGGAGGTTTCTCACTTTTGTCTCTGAGGCAGGAGCCTTAAGGACAGACATTCACCTCATCTCTGGACTTTATCAAATGGACTTTGGTCTCTGCTCCTTATGGACCAAAGTCTATCTGTTTGTTTCTGTTTGATTCTCTGATCTGTGTTGGTGAATCGGCAGCTTTGATAGTGCTCCGACACAATATACTGTTGTGATTTAGTACGATACAATAATAAATTGAATTGAATTGAATTAAGTGAATCTTAAACCAGTCCAAGTCTGTTTTTGGGATTCTATCACAGAATAATTCCATGTTTTGAGTTAGTGACCCGCTCGTTTCCATGGCGATGACCACATTCAGTCGTTTACAGGCAGAAAACAAGAGCATCTTTACAGATTCACAGCCTCTCACTTAAAACAGTGGACTTTAAATCAGAGGCGGACGTTTGAAAAGGCTTCTTGATGCCGCGGATTGTGAATGAAGGATCCTCAGTTCAGCAGAACAGTGACATACGACCGAGGCTAAAGCCCGTCTGAGCCGCCATTGTACAGACCTGTTTTGGTGGATTTGGACCCGGCAGCTGTCCCCAAGGGTTACGCATCGGCTCCTGCGGTGGGCGAGGGAGCTGGGGGTTTACGTGGCAGCCGGGGGTCTACGTCTGCCACGTAGACCCCCGGCTCACAAGGACAGGCCTCCTGTGTTTGATAAGATAAGATAAGATAAGACTTTATTAATCTCACACAAGAGAAATGTACATGTCACATTGGCAAGGACAGGAACACTCAACAATTGTGCAAAAGTAAGAAATGTGCAGAATGTTAATCCAGGATTTATTATGTACAAAAAAGTGGCGATTAGAAAGAAGTGTCAACAGTAGTGCAGGTTTTATCAGTCTTAGTGCAGTGACTTAAAGTGACTTGTTGTACAGTCTGACAGTGGTGGGGATAAAGGCCCTGCTGTAGCGCTCCTTCTTCCACTGAAGGAGCTCCTCAGCTCCTCTACAGTCCTGTGCAGTGGGAGGTGTTGTTCATGATGGAGGTGACTTTGACTTGACCCTCCTGTCCCTCACCTCCTCCACAGAGTCCAGGGGCCTCCTGTCCCTCACCTCCTCCACAGAGTCCAGGGGCCTCCTGTCCCTCACCTCCTCCACAGAGTCCAGGGGCCTCCTGTCCCTCACCTCCTCCTGACCAGCTTGTTCAGTCTGTTTCTGTCCCGCTCTGTGCTGCCCGGGGCCCAGCACACGGCAGCGTAGTAAATGGCAGAAGCTACCACAGAGTCATAAAAAGTCCTGAGCAGAGGCCTGCTCACTCCGAAGGACCTCAGCCTCCTCAGAAGGACCTCAGCCTCCTCCGAAGGACCTCAGCCTCCTCAGAAGGACCTCCTCAGAAGGACCTCAGCCTCCTCAGAAGGACCTCAGCCTCCTCCGAAGGACCTCAGCCTCCTCAGAAGGACCTCAGCCTCCGCCCCCTCAGAAGGACCTCAGCCTCCTCAGAAGGACCTCAGCCTCCTCCGAAGGACCTCAGCCTCCTCAGAAGGACCTCAGCCTCCTCAGAAGGAAGAGGCGACTTTGGCCCTTCTTGTGCAGGGCGTTTGTATTATGGGACCAGTCCAGTTTATTGTTGACATCATCGTTTGGACATCAATATTCGATTAATGGTCAGATTAACACACATGAAATGCTTTGGTGCAATATTTTTTTGTAATTTGCAAACCTTTAGTATATTTAGTTCTACTTCCTGGTTCTGACCTGCCCCGCCCTCATGTGTGTCACCTGTGTTAGTCCTGAGTTTGTGTTTCTTCCGTCATTGTCATTTCACGTTTGTTTACGTTCTTGTCCTCGATCCCTGTGTCGTTTCCTATTGTTTGGATTTTGTATTTGCTTTTATTAAATCCATTATATTTGCAGTTCTGTGGTTTTGGGCTCGTTTCATTTTACACACATGACGAGAGATGCACCGATTCCGATACTAGTGTCAGGTCGATACCATGGGCTTGTACTCGTGCTCATACTCATGCCATAGGACCAGATCCGGGGAACTGATACCCACATTTTTTATTTACAATAACGTCAGGACAGCAGACATCTGTGCGGCACGTGTTGTTGTTGATCTCCCAAAGACGGCAGCAAGAAAGCAAGCTAGCGGCAACCAAGCTAGCGGCGGGTGGACAAGATGTTGGCGTATGGCAGAGTGAGTGTGACTGTACGTTGTGTAAAACTGTCACGTGGAAGGTTCAAAGCAAACACATATAACACCAACAACTCGATAAAACTCACCACAGCACAGAGTAAACTTTGGTAGTACCAGAGCTATTCTTGGGTTTCATTAAACTGGCCAGTAGGGGGCGAATGAGCAGAGGTGTCAGAGGCTCTCCTCCTGTGCGGTGTACGGTTGTCGGAACAGTCTTAATCGGGGACACTCAATTCTAAGGCAGTACTAACAAATATTTCTCAAAAGAGTCTGGATTTCGGGCAGTTTTGGAAAGACAAACATAAGAAATTGCTGCGTTTCATTGGGGTGGCCTGCAGGGGGCGCTTATCTGGGAAAGCCTTGATCCACCTCGCCCGCCTCATTCCAGTGATATTTTCAAAGTGTCCTCCTTTTTATGAGACCACAGTTGGAACATGAACAAACTGTGGTCTTTCTCTGTATTTGTGCGGTTGCTACAAGCGTACACCGCACAAACAGATGGCTTCTTCTTCTACTATATCTCCGTGTATAAACCCGACAGACTGCACCGACAGGATACGCCACGTCCTGTCCAACGTTTGTTATTCGCGCCACTGCCCTGACGTCATATGAAACCCAAGAATTTAATCGTACCAATTGAATGAGTGGAATATGAGAGTGGCTCTTATTGTTGACTGTTAAAACAATTGCTAAAGTTACAGCATTTTCTTATCGTTGAAAAGAGAAATAAAGCATTGTACTTTTCTGTTGTATTAGCTTTGTTTCCCAGGAATAACACAATGCAGTAATATTTACAGTCTATGTGCGGTTTTTGTATCGGTACTTGGTATTGGCAGGTACTCAAATTAAAGTACTCGTATCAGTTTTGAATAACGTTGTATCAGTGCATCTCTATGACACTTCCACAGTATAAAGTGCTGCTTCTCTTGCTCCCGCTTTGGTTCAGATCCACCTTCACCAACGACAGATTTAAACAACCATGAATCATGTCACGGAGGAAGTTCAGCTGCTGAGGTCCTGATTTTCATTTAGATTAGACCTCGGTGCAGGCAAACCCCCGCCTTCTGAGTGATCCGAGCATGAGCGGTGACTGAGGGCAGCACAGACAACAGCCATGGAAGCAAGGTTATTTGTACAGCACGGCCTGCTCACTCCGAAGGACCTCAGCCTCAGAAGGACCTCAGCCTCAGAAGGACCTCAGCCTCAGAAGGACCTCAGCCTCTTCAGAAAGACCTCAGCCTCAGAAGGACCTGAGCCCCAGTAAAACCTCAGCCTCTTCAGAAAGACCTCAGCCTCAGAAAGACCTCAGTCTCAGAAGGACCTCAGCCTCAGAAAGACCTCAGCCTCAGAAAGACCCCAGCCTCAGAAGGACCTGAGCCCCAGTAAAACCTCAGCCTCTTCAGAAAGACCTCAGCCTCAGAAAGACCTCAGTCTCAGAAGGACCTCAGTCTCAGAAGGACCTCAGTCTCAGAAGGATCTCAGTCTCAGAAAAACCTCAGCCTCTTCAGAAAGACCTCAGCCTCAGAAAGACCACAGCCTAGGAAGGACCTCAGCCTCAGAAGGACCTCAGCCTCTCAGCGACTTTGGCCCTTCTTGAACAGGGCGTTGGTATTATGGACCAGTCCAGTTTATTGTTAATGTGAGCACAGGTACTTGAAGCTGTCCACCAGCTCAATGTCCTCCCCCTGGATGTTCAGCAGCGTGTGGGAAAGTGTTCTCCTGAAGTCCAATACCATCTCCTTGGTCTTACTGGTGTTCAAGCACAGGTAACATTTCATTGGTCTTACTGGTGTTAGCACAGGTACCATCTCATTAGTCTTACTGGTGTTGGCACAGTAAGTAAGTAAGTAAGTCATCTTTATTTATATACCGCCTTTTCACTGCAGATCTGAGTCTCAAAGCAGTTTACAATTGTTAATTTTGGGCATTTGTCCCCTCACTCCACACAGAGATGGGAGGGGCCAGTACAGGAGGCCCATGCTAGAACTATTGGACATATTTTTAGTGGCAGGGGAAACCGGAGTACCCAGAGGAAACCTACGCAGACACGGGGAGAACATGCAAACTCCACTCAGAAAGGCCCTGGTCCGACCGGGATTCGAACCCAGGACCTTCTTGCTGAGAGGCGAGAGTGCTATCCACTCAGCCACCGTGCCGCCCCTAGTCTCTGTCTGGTCTCACAGGTACCATCTCCTTAGTCTTACTGGTGTTACCAATGTACCATCTCCTGGTCTTACCAACTGGTCTCCAGGTCAGTGTTCCATGGTCTTCATCAGGAGGTCAGTGTTCCATGGTCTTCATCAGGATGTCAGTGTTCCATGGTCTTCATCAGGAGGTCAGTGCTCCATGGTCTTCATCAGGAGGTCAGTGCCCTTAGTCTTCATCAGGAGGTCAGTGCTCCATGGTCTTCATCAGGAGGTCAGTGCTCCATGGTCTTCATCAGGTGGGAGGTCAGTGCTCCATGGTCTTCATCAGGTGGGAGGTCAGTGCTCCATGGTCTTCATCAGGAGGGCAGTGCTCCATGGTCTTCATCAGGAGGTCAGTGCTCCTTAGTCTTCATCAGGAGGTCAGTGCTCCATGGTCTTCATCAGGAGGTCAGTGCTCCATGGTCTTCATCAGGAGGTCAGTGCTCCATGGTCTTCATCAGGAGGTCAGTGCTCCTTAGTCTTCATCAGGAGGTCAGTGCTCCATGGTCTTCATCAGGAGGTCAGTGCTCCATGGTCTTCATCAGGAGGTCAGTGCTCCATGGTCTTCATCAGGAGGTCAGTGCTCCATGGTCTTCATCAGGAGGTCAGTGCTCCATGGTCTTCATCAGGAGGTCAGTGCTCCATGGTCTTCATCAGGAGGTCAGTGCTCCATGGTCTTCATCAGGAGGTCAGTGCCCTTAATCTTCATCAGGAGGTCAGTGCTCCATGGTCTTCATCAGGAGGTCAGTGCTCCATGGTCTTCATCAGGTGGGAGGTCAGTGCTCCATGGTCTTCATCAGGAGGTCAGTGCTCCATGGTCTTCATCAGGAGGTCAGTGCTCCATGGTCTTCATCAGGAGGTCAGTGCTCCATGGTCTTCATCAGGAGGTCAATGCTCCTTAGTCTTCATCAGGAGGTCAGTGCTCCATGGTCTTCATCAGGAGGTCAGTGCTCCATGGTCTTCATCAGGTGGAGGTCAGTGCTCCATGGTCTTCATCAGGAGGTCAGTGCTCCATGGTCTTCATCAGGTGGAGGTCAGTGCTCCATGGTCTTCATCAGGTGGAGGTCAGTGCTCCATGGTCTTCATCAGGAGGTCAGTGCTCCATGGTCTTCATCAGGAGGTCAGTGCTCCTTAATCTTCATCAGGAGGTCAGTGCTCCATGGTCTTCATCAGGAGGTCAGTGCTCCATGGTCTTCATCAGGTGGGAGGTCAGTGCTCCATGGTCTTCATCAGGAGGTCAGTGCTCCATGGTCTTCATCAGGTGGAGGTCAGTGCTCCATGGTCTTCATCAGGTGGAGGACAGTGCTCCATGGTCTTCATCAGGTGGGAGGACAGTGCTCCATGGTCTTCATCAGGTGGGAGGTCAGTGCTCCATGGTCTTCATCAGGAGGTCAGTGCTCCATGGTCTTCATCAGGAGGTCAGTGCTCCATGGTCTTCATCAGGAGGTCAGTGCTCCATGGTCTTCATCAGGAGGTCAATGCTCCTTAGTCTTCATCAGGAGGTCAGTGCTCCATGGTCTTCATCAGGAGGTCAGTGCTCCATGGTCTTCATCAGGTGGAGGTCAGTGCTCCATGGTCTTCATCAGGAGGTCAGTGCTCCATGGTCTTCATCAGGTGGAGGTCAGTGCTCCATGGTCTTCATCAGGTGGAGGTCAGTGCTCCATGGTCTTCATCAGGAGGTCAGTGCTCCATGGTCTTCATCAGGAGGTCAGTGCTCCTTAATCTTCATCAGGAGGTCAGTGCTCCATGGTCTTCATCAGGAGGTCAGTGCTCCATGGTCTTCATCAGGTGGGAGGTCAGTGCTCCATGGTCTTCATCAGGAGGTCAGTGCTCCATGGTCTTCATCAGGTGGAGGTCAGTGCTCCATGGTCTTCATCAGGTGGAGGACAGTGCTCCATGGTCTTCATCAGGTGGGAGGACAGTGCTCCATGGTCTTCATCAGGTGGAGGTCAGTGCTCCATGGTCTTCATCAGGAGGTCAGTGCTCCATGGTCTTCATCAGGAGGTCAGTGCTCCATGGTCTTCATCAGGAGGTCAGTGCTCCATGGTCTCCATCAGGAGGTCAGTGCTCCAAGGTCTTCATCAGGAGGTCAGTGCTCCATGGTCTTCATCAGGTGGGAGGTCAGTGCTCCTTAGTCTTCATCAGGTGGAGGTCAGTGCTCCATGGTCTTCATCAGGTGGAGGTCAGTGCTCCATGGTCTTCATCAGGTGGAGGTCAGTGCTCCATGGTCTTCATCAGGAGGTCAGTGCTCCATGGTCTTCATCAGGTGGAGGACAGCTCCTTCCTCTCCCACAGACCGGTGTCATCCGTCCTGGTTTTGCTTATCTGACCTTTTGGTTGTAATCCACTGCAGAATACGGGATTAAACTGATTCATGGATTCTTAATGAGTCTTACACTTTATGTATAAGTGTTTTTGTTTTTATTTATTGTTTGTCGCTGAAACTCATGATTGCGTCTGTAAATCCTCGGGCGTTCCCTCGAGCAGGAATCTGATTACGATTGTATTTCCGCAGTCGTCTCATTATTGAAATGACGTGTTAACGGCAGCGTGAGATTTGAGTCTGTGTTGGATTGGATTAGGAGCCGAGATTCAGACTCACATCAGATCCTAATCAGATTTCTGAGGCTCATGTAAACGCTTCAGGAATGACGGTAAATATTTAGTTTTATCATTTCATTTTTTTTGCGTCGAAGAGACTTTTGGAGAACTAGAGAAGCTTCTGCATCAGCACAGATGTAAACCAGTGTCAGCGACTTCACAGTTCTTTGGAAAGGAACAACTTCAGCCTCAGCGTCTTCCACCAGAAAAGAACAACACTGTCTCCTGCTGATGTCTCGGTGCAGAGGATAGATACAAAACTGTCTCTCTCTATCTCTGTCTCTCTCTCTCTGTCTCTCTCTCTCTCTCTCTCTCTCCCTCTCTCTCTCTGTCTCTCTGTCTCTCTCTCTCTGTCTCTCTCTCTCTCTCTCTCTCTCTCTCTCTCTCTCTCTCTCCCTCTCTCTCTCTCTCTCTCTCTCTCTCTGTCTCTCTCTCCCTCTCTCTCTCTCTCTCTCTCGGTCTCTCTCTCTCTCTCTCTCTCTCTGTCTCTCTCTCTCTCTCTCTCTCTCTCTCTCTGTCTCTCTCTCTCTCTCTCTCTCTCTCTCTCTCTCTCTCTCTCTCTCTCTGTCTCTCTCTCTCTCTGTCTCTCTCTCTCTCTCTCTCTCTCTCTCTCTCTCTCTCTCTCTCTCTCTCTCTCTCTCTCTCTCTGTCTCTCTATCTGTCTCTCTCTCTCTCTCTCTCTGTCTCTTACTCTCTCTCTCTCTCTCTCTCTCTCTCTCTCTCTCTCTCTCTCTCTCTCTGTCTCTCTCTCTCTCTCTCTCTCTCTCTCTCTCTCTCTCTCTCTCTCTCTCTCTCTCTCTCTCTCTCTCTCTCTCTCTCTCTGTCTCTCTCTCTCTCTCTCTCTCTCTCTCTCTCTCTCTCTCTCTCTCTCTCTCTCTCTCTCTCTCTGTCTCTCTGTCTCTCTCTCTGTCTCTCTCTCTCTCTCTCTCTCTCTCTCTCTCTCTCTCTCTCTCTCTCTCTCTCTCTCTCTCGGTCTCTCTCTCCCTCTCTCTCTCCCTCTCTCTCTCTGTCTCTCTGTCTCTCTCTCTCTCTGTGTCTCTCTGTCTCTCTCTCTCTCTGTCTCTCTCTCTCTCTCTCTCTCTCTGTCTCTCTCTCTCTCTGTCTCTCTCTCTCTCTGTCTCTCTCTCTCTCCCTCTCTCTCTGTCTCAGACTTCTCTCACACAAACCTCTCTAACCGTATCAGTCTTTGATGTCGTCCCAGTATTACACGTGTTTCTTTCTATATTTCTATTGTAATTTCCTTCCTCCCGGTTCAACGTCTGTGACAGCGTCTGTGTAAAAAACATTGAGAACTGGGGTATGGAGACTTTTGATCAGAAGTGATTTTCATTATGATCTGAAAATAGAAAACATTAATAGCTTCACAAAACCACTCCCAAAGAGCCTGCTGAGTCCCCCTGGTGTCCAGCAGAGGTATGAGCCCTATGGCTGTGGACCATGTGACAGTCAGAGGAGAGAGCCTTGGCCCCTGGACGACCCCAGCACCGGCCCTGACCCCCCCATGACCCCCTCCTGACCCCCCCTGACCCCCCCCCTGACCCGCTGAGGCTGCGGGCTGTGGCTGACCTCAGACTCTCACTGCCTTTCATCCACAGCTCGGTCAGACACAGGAGGAGCTGGGGTTTCCAGAGGGTCATGACTGAAGAGAGGAAGAAAACTGGACTTTAGGAACACTTCATGTAACGTGATTAGAAATGTCAATTCATCCAGGTTTGTAAATTAAAGTAATTTCACTTATATGAAATAGAGAGCTATACAAGTGATCTGGCCAACGACTCCGATTGTGTATTTGCTCTGATTGTGTATCCGTGTTATGACCATAGTCTGTAAATATTAACGGACGTAGTCACGCCTATCTCCGCCGTTCTAACTAATGGGCCAAAAATGGGCTTTCATGGAGTGATTCAAAATGGCCGCGGGGGCTGGAAAATGTGAAAAAACGCATCTGCGCATGCGTCAGCTGCACGAGCTCCATTCATTTGAACGAGAGACTTCTAAAGTCCACAGCGACTAAACTAGACTGGTCCAGAACACTCAGCATTGACACACATGTGGAACGGAGCTTTGGGCCAAGAGCCAACTTTTGGACCATCCTGTAAAAGTGTTTTCAGGAGGTCAGCTAATGCTATATGTTAGCATTGGCTAATTCATATTCCGGGTCCACCCCCACAGGCCCGTGGTGGTATTGCAGCATGTCAGCGCACGTCATTTTGGCCACTTTTGAGCCGGGATCCGCCCCCACATGTTATGACTCTAACATGTTCTTTCGATGTCTCTTGAAGTGACACGTATGTCTTTGATGTGTGACGTAACATTGACTTTATATAAACCAAATCTAACTTGGTGCTGTGTGAAAAAAACTGAAGGAAACAGAATAAACTTTCATGGTGCGTAAAGATCCCGTCTGTGAGGCTGATTTTCCACACTATCAAATGTATTTGTGTATCTCCCTAAATCACAACAGCACTTGTCTCGGAGGAGTTTACAAAGCCGTCGATTCTTTAACAACAGATCAGAAAATCAAACAGTTTGAACACAGGAAATGCAATAACAACAAACACAGGGAAGATTACTCTCCACAAATATAAATAAACGTCTTTAAAATGTCCCGGATCATCACTGTCCTTAGGCCCTCCTGCATCAGAGACGAACTATTCATAAAAACCCAGTGGGTAAAAAGCCACTGCAATCTCACTCCCAGGAGGTGGGGGTGTACCCGGAAGAAGATTTACCCAATATTTTTGTATGGCGCCTTCATTCTTCTAGAAAATGTCTTTAAAGGATGGTCCAAAAGTGGCTCTTGGTCCAAAAGTGGCTCTTGGTTCAAAAGTGGTTCTTGGTCCAAAAGTGGCTCTTGGTCCAAAAGTGGTTCTTGGTTCAAAAGTGGTTCTTGGTCCAAAAGTGGCTCTTGGTTCAAAAGTGGTTCTTGGTCCAAAAGTGGTTCTTGGTCCAAAAGTGGCTCTTGGTTCAAAAGTGGTTCTTGGTCCAAAAGTGGCTCTTGGTTCAAAAGTGGTTCTTGGTCCAAAAGTGGCTCTTGGTCCAAAAGTGGCTCTTGGTTCAAAAGTGGTTCTTGGTCCAAAAGTGGTTCTTGGTCCAAAAGTGGCTCTTGGTCCAAAAGTGGCTCTTGGTCCAAAAGTGGTTCTTGGTCCAAAAGTGGCTCTTGGTCCAAAAGTGGTTCTTGGTCCAAAAGTGGCTCTTGGTCCAAAAGTGGTTCTTGGTTCAAAAGTGGCTCGTGGTCCAAAAGTGGCTCTTGGTCAAAAAGTGGCTCTTGGTCCAAAAGTGGTTCTTGGTTCAAAAGTGGTTCTTGGTCCAAAAGTGGCTCTTGGTCCAAAAGTGGCTCTTGGTTCAAAAGTGGTTCTTGGTCCAAAAGTGGTTCTTGGTTCAAAAGTGGTTCTTGGTCCAAAAGTGGCTCTTGGTCCAAAAGTGGTTCTTGGTCCAAAAGTGGCTCTTGGTCCAAAAGTGGTTCTTGGTCCAAAAGTGGCTCTTGGTCCAAAAGTGGCTCTTGGTTCAAAAGTGGTTCTTGGTCCAAAAGTGGCTCTTGGTCCAAAAGTGGCTCTTGGTTCAAAAGTGGTTCTTGGTCCAAAAGTGGTTCTTGGTCCAAAAGTGGCTCTTGGTCCAAAAGTGGTTCTTGGTCCAAAAGTGGCTCTTGGTCCAAAAGTGGTTCTTGGTTCAAAAGTGGTTCTTGGTCCAAAAGTGGCTCTTGGTCCAAAAGTGGTTCTTGGTCCAAAAGTGGCTCTTGGTCCAAAAGTGGTTCTTGGTCCAAAAGTGGTTCTTGGTTCAAAAGTGGTTCTTGGTCCAAAAGTGGCTCTTGGTCCAAAAGTGGTTCTTGGTCCCAGATGCTGTCGATGCTGAGGGGAGTATATATTTTTGGACCAGTCTAGTTTAGCCACTGTGGACTTTTGAATGCACTTGTTAAATGAATGGGGCTGGTGCAGCTAACACATGCGCAAATGCGTTTTTTCACATTTTCCTGCCCCGGCGGCCATTTTGAAAAAGCCCCCAGTATAGGCAAAAGTGATGTCACATTAGTTTCAACGACGGTTAATTACTGTGTTAATACTCACAGTCCATGGGAAAAAAATGAGAAAGGTCTGGGTTCGAATCCCAGTCGGAACAGGTTCCACACCCATGTCTGCGCAGGTTTCCTCCGGGTGCTCCAGTTTCCCAAACCACTAAAAACCTGCACAATAGGTCTGTGCTTCCTGCAGATCAGAGAATCAAACCGTTCGCACACAGGAAATGCCATAATAACAGACACACATCGGTCCATAGAGGGCGGGATGAACCACTGTCCAGAAATGAGAAAAGTAATCTCTAACTTATTTAAATACTTTAAAGACCAAACGCAGTCGCAGCAGAACAAAGCACAGATCGTTTTGAAGAAAAGATTTGAACATCTTCCGATCGCCGTGGGCTTCGAGGAGCTGCCAGATGTGCCACGCAAAAAACATTTTCCACTTGAGTTCATAAATCCCCACATCCTGAAGGATTTACCATTCTGCAAAGTGAGGCTGAAACTCTCCGTTTGAAAGAAAGAAAAACACAATACACAATTACAATACAATTTATTCTTGTGTTTCCCTAATGTACGCAGCGAAGAGTCCGTGAATAATGTCATGACACAATTTTAAATAAATACAAAACCATTGATTTTATTGATTAATTTCAAGCCAATTTTTCAAGCCAAGTTGTAATTTGACATGATACAAACAGAGACATATTCATAAATGTCGGGGTTTTGTTTCCCGCTTATTCTTTTCATGACGACAGAGAAACAAGAGTGAAGCTCCTGCGCGTGCTGCTTTTTCCTTTATAAAGTTGTCCTTGTAAATAGTGTGTACTGCCTGACGTGCACGATGAACCGGAGGCTAGTGGGGACGTGATATTGTGCGTCACATTACGTCCTCCTTTGGCGCCCGCCGTGACGTTCATTTTCACACACTTCTCTCTCTGCAGTCGCACACTTTCACGTTCTCCCTTTGTTTGTGTTACTTTTGTGTGAGCGGCCGGACCGTGGTCGAGGGCTTCAGGGGAGCCCTCAAAACACACCACTTATGTCCTGACTGACACACTCACACACACACACACACACACACACACGCACACATACACACACACACACGCACACACACACACGCACACACATACACATACATACACGTACACACACACACACACACACATACACACACACATACACCTACACTCACACACACATACACACACACACGCACGCACACACATACACACGCAAACATACACATACACACACACACATACACACACACACACACACACACACACACACACACACACACACACACACACACACACACACACACATACACATACACACACACACACACACACACACACACACACACACACACACACACACACATACACATACACACACACACACACACACACACACACACACACACACACACACACACACACACACACACACACACACACACACACACACACACACACACACACACACACACACACACACACCCACACACACACACACACACACACACACACACACACACATACACACACACACACACACACACACACACGCCACAGGAGCCCAGTGTAAACAGGAACGGAAACAGTAACTTAACTCGGACCTTGAGGTTGTCACTGAAGTTAGTATAAGCGCCACCAGCTGGAGCAAGCGTTGTACTACAGCACAGATGGTCTGGCATGGCAACACACACTAAAACACACACAAACACACACACACACACACACACTAAGAAGGATTCGACACATGCTTGAACAGTATCACGGCCTCACGCACACACACATACACCTACACACACACACACACACACTAGCAAACAACACACACACACACCCAAAAGCAAACACACACACACACATACACACACACATACACTCACACATACACACATACAGACACTCAAACACTATCACACTCACACATACACCTACACACACACTCACACACACACACCTACAAACACACACACACACACATACACACCATCACACACACCAGAACAGAAGTGTCTCCCGTGTTGCCTTCTCGCTGGTAAAGACCTGTTTGTGTGACCTCTGACCTCTGTGTGTGTTTTATAGTTTTGGTTTCTCTCTGTTCGCACCTGTGTGAAACCTGAACCCATGACGTCATGTCCAGCGACGAACAGGAAAGTACCTGCCCTGGTCTTACCATGTGTAAACTCTGGTCCATGATCATCTCCTACATGTACGTCTGGTCTTACCATGTGTAAACTCTGATCCATGGTCATCTCCTACATGTACATCTGGTCTTACCATGTGTAAACTCTGGTCCATGATCATCTCCTACATGTACATCTGGTCTTACCATGTGTAAACTCTGGTCCATGATCATCTCCTACATGTACGTCTGGTCTTACCATGTGTAAACTCTGATCCATGATCATTTCCTACATGTACGTCTGGTCTTACCATGTGTAAACTCTGGTCCATGATCATCTCCTACATGTACATCTGGTCTTACCATGTGTAAACTCTGGTCCATGATCATTTCCTACATGTACGTCTGGTCTTACCATGTGTAAACTCTGGTCCATGATCATCTCCTACATGTACGTCTGGTCTTACCATGTGTAAACTCTGGTCCATGATCATTTCCTACATGTATGTCTGGTCTTACCATGTGTAAACTCTGGTCCATGATCATCTCCTACATGTACGTCTGGTCTTACCATGTGTAAACTCTGGTCCATGATCATCTCCTACATGTACGTCTGGTCTTACCATGTGTAAACTCTGGTCCATGATCATTTCCTACATGTACGTCTGGTCTTACCATGTGTAAACTCTGGTCCATGATCATTTCCTACATGTACGTCTGGTCTTACCATGTGTAAACTCTGGTCCATGATTATTTCCTACATGTACGTCTGGTCTTACCATGTGTAAACTCTGGTCCATGATCATCTCCTACATGTACGTCTGGTCTTACCATGTGTAAACTCTGGTCCATGATCATCTCCTACATGTACGTCTGGTCTTACCATGTGTAAACTCTGGTCCATGATCATTTCCTACATGTACGTCTGGTCTTACCATGTGTAAACTCTGGTCCATGGTCATTTCCTACATGTACGTCTGGTCTTACCATGTGTAAACTCTGGTCCATGATCATTTCCTACATGTACGTCTGGTCTTACCATGTGTAAACTCTGGTCCATGGTCATTTCCTACATGTACGTCTGGTCTTACCATGTGCAAACTCTGGTCCATGATCATCTCCTACATGTACGTCTGGTCTTACCATGTGTAAACTCTGGTCCATGATCATCTCCTACATGTACGTCTGGTCTTACCATGTGTAAACTCTGGTCCATGATCATCTCCTACATGTACGTCTGGTCTTACCATGTGTAAACTCTGGTCCATGATCATCTCCTACATGTACATCTGGTCTTACCATGTGTAAACTCTGGTCCATGATCATTTCCTACATGTACGTCTGGTCTTACCATGTGTAAACTCTGGTCCATGATCATCTCCTACATGTACGTCTGGTCTTACCATGTGTAAACTCTGGTCCATGATCATCTCCTACATGTACGTCTGGTCTTACCATGTGTAAACTCTGGTCCATGATCATTTCCTACATGTACGTCTGGTCTTACCATGTGTAAACTCTGGTCCATGATCATTTCCTACATGTACGTCTGGTCTTACCATGTGTAAACTCTGGTCCATGATTATTTCCTACATGTACGTCTGGTCTTACCATGTGTAAACTCTGGTCCATGATCATCTCCTACATGTACGTCTGGTCTTACCATGTGTAAACTCTGGTCCATGATCATCTCCTACATGTACGTCTGGTCTTACCATGTGTAAACTCTGGTCCATGATCATTTCCTACATGTACGTCTGGTCTTACCATGTGTAAACTCTGGTCCATGGTCATTTCCTACATGTACGTCTGGCCTTACCATGTGTAAACTCTGGTCCATGATCATCTCCTACATGTACGTCTGGTCTTACCATGTGTAAACTCTGGTCCATGATCATCTCCTACATGTACGTCTGGTCTTACCATGTGTAAACTCTGGTCCATGATCATCTCCTACATGTACGTCTGGTCTTACCATGTGTAAACTCTGGTCCATGATCATTTCCTACATGTACGTCTGGTCTTACCATGTGTAAACTCTGGTCCATGATCATTTCCTACATGTACGTCTGGTCTTACCATGTGTAAACTCTGGTCCATGGTCATCTCCTACATGTACGTCTGGTCTTACCATGTGTAAACTCTGGTCCATGATCATCTCCTACATGTACGTCTGGTCTTACCATGTGTAAACTCTGGTCCATGATCATTTCCTACATGTACGTCTGGTCTTACCATGTGTAAACTCTGGTCCATGATCATTTCCTACATGTACGTCTGGTCTTACCATGTGTAAACTCTGGTCCATGGTCATTTCCTACATGTACGTCTGGTCTTACCATGTGTAAACTCTGGTCCATGATCATTTCCTACATGTACGTCTGGTCTTACCATGTGTAAACTCTGGTCCATGGTCATTTCCTACATGTACGTCTGGTCTTACCATGTGTAAACTCTGGTCCATGGTCATTTCCTACATGTACGTCTGGGTCTGATCCTAGTGGCTGCAGTCTCCTCTGTTGAATCCCCTCCGACCAATCAGACAGCGGGGGAGGCGGGTGTTGTAGGTTGCCGCCGGTGACGTCAGAGTTTGTGCTGAATTTTCTGGTTGTAGTTTGTCGGAGAATGCGAAAGTAAAATAATCTGTTCTGGTTCAATCCAAATATCAAGAAACTGAAGCAAGAGCAAGAGGAATGTTTAGTAAATGTCATTGAAGCAAATATGTTGTGGCGCTACTCCCCACGGGCTTCGTTAGTGACAAAGGAGATGGCTAAAGCTAGGCTAAATGCTAAAGCTAGGCTAATGCTAAATGCCTCACTCACTCGGGCTCATTACATACATCACAGTAAACTCAGATCCAATCGTTTCAATCTTTAAAGGAGTTAGCCCCTCCCACCTGTTCACGGAGTCAATGCAGCAAATCCAGACCTTAGTACCAAATGAAATATGAAATGAGTACCATGGTGCGGTAAGACCAGGGTAGAAAGTCCCCTGTTCCAGACCGTGGTCCAGACCGTGGTCCAGACCGTGGTCCAGACCGTGGTCCAGACCGTGGTCCAGACCGTGGTCCAGACCGTGGTCCAGACCGTGGTCCAGACCGTAGAGTGATGAAGGACCAGATTATTTTCAGCCTCAACGGATTCTGTTGATTGCAAATGTATCTAATGTTGGAAAGTCTCTTCTCTGGTGGATCCAAAAGGTTTCTCTCTAGTTTAGAAGAGGACCAGGCAGGACCAGGCAGGACCAGGCAGGACCAGGCAGGACCAGGCAGGACCAGGCAGGACCAGGCAGGACCAGGCAGGACCAGGTAGGACCAGGCAGGACCAGGCAGGACCAGGCAGGACCAGGCAGGACCTTTTTCGTAGGTGTTTGGGAGGATCTGGATTCTGGGACTCAACCAGGACCCAAGTTCTTCAGCCCCCCCCCCCATGACCCCCCCATGACCCCCCCATGACCCCCCCTGTCCAGAGGAGGAAGCAGAGTGTCCGAGTGCCTGCAGACATCGTGCTCTGGGGTCACAGCCCGGTCAGTGGGAGGTCTGCGTGACATCAGAGCGCCACGATGACAACAACAAGACTGAGGCTTAGGACTGGACTAGACTGGACTAGACTAAACTAGACTAAACTAGACTAAACTAGACTAAACTAGACTCAACTAGACTAAACTAGACTAAACTAGACTAAACTAGACTGGACTAGACTAAACTAGACTAAACTAGACTAAACTAGACTAAACTAGACTAAACTAGACTAAACTAGACTGGACTAGACTAAACTAGACTAAACTAGACTAAACTAGACTAAACTAGACTCAACTAGACTAAACTAGACTAAACTAGACTAAACTAGACTGGACTAGACTAAACTAGACTAAACTAGACTAAACTAGACTAAACTAGACTCAACTAGACTAAACTAGACTTAAAATAGACTAAACTAGACTAAACTACACTTAAACTAGACTAAACTAGACTAAACTAGACTTAAAATAGCCTTAAAATAGACTTAAACTAGACTTAACTAGACTTAAACTAGACTAAACTAGACTTAACTAGACTAAACTAGACTAAACTAGACTAAACTAGACTTAAACTAGACTAAACTAGACTTAAAATAGACTAAACTAGACTAAACTAGACTAAACTAGACTAAACTAGACTTAAACTAGACTAAACTAGACTAAACTAGACTAAACTAGACTAAAATAGACTAAACTAGACTAAACTAGACTAAAATAGACTTAAAATAGACTTAAACTAGACGTAACTAGACTTAAACTAGACTAAACTAGACTAAACTAGACTAAACTAGACTTAAACTAAACTAAACTAGACTAAACTAGACTAAACTAGACTAAACTAGACTAAACTAGACAAAACTAGACTAAACTAGACTTAAAATAGACTTAAACTAGACTAAACTGGTTCTAAGGTCCACAGCCCACATGCCCACGAGACCATGTTTTGAAGCCCCTACGATGGTTCTTACAGGGACTTTCTGCGTTGATGGTTCTTACAGGGGCTTTCAGTGTTGATGGTTCTTACAGGGGCTTTCAGTGTTGATGGTTCTTACAGGGTCTTTCTGCGTTGATGGTTCTTACAGGGACTTTCTGCGTTGATGGTTCTTACAGGGGCTTTCAGTGTTGATGGTTCTTACAGGGACTTTCAGTGTTGATGGTTCTTACAGGGGCTTTCTGCGTTGATGGTTCTTACAGGGGCTTTCAGTGTTGATGGTTCTTACAGGGGCTTTCAGTGTTGATGGTTCTTACAGGGGCTTTCAGTGTTGATGGTTCTTACAGGGTCTTTCTGCGTTGATGGTTCTTACAGGGGCTTTCAGTGTTGATGGTTCTTACAGGGGCTTTCAGTGTTGATGGTTCTTACAGGGGCTTTCAGTGTTGATGGTTCTTACAGGGGCTTTCAGTGTTGATGGTTCTTACAGGGGCTTTCAGTGTTGATGGTTCTTACAGGGGCTTTCAGTGTTGATGGTTCTTACAGGGGCTTTCTGCGTTGATGGTTCTTACAGGGGCTTCCAGTGTTGATGGTTCTTACAGGGGCTTTCAGTGTTGATGGTTCTTACAGGGGCTTCCAGTGTTGATGGTTCTTACAGGGGCTTTCAGTGTTGATGGTTCTTACAGGGGCTTCCAGTGTTGATGGTTCTTACAGGGGCTTCCAGTGTTGATGGTTCTTACAGGGGCTTCCAGTGTTGATGGTTCTTACAGGGGCTTTCAGTGTTGATGGTTCTTACAGGGGCTTTCAGTGTTGATGGTTCTTACAGGGGCTTTCAGTGTTGATGGTTCTTACAGGGGCTTCCAGTGTTGATGGTTCTTACAGGGGCTTTCAGTGTTGATGGTTCTTACAGGGTCTTTCTGCGTTGATGGTTCTTACAGGGGCTTTCAGTGTTGATGGTTCTTACAGGGGCTTTCAGTGTTGATGGTTCTTACAGGGGCTTTCAGTGTTGATGGTTCTTACAGGGACTTTCAGTGTTGATGGTTCTTACAGGGGCTTTCAGTGTTGATGGTTCTTACAGGGGCTTTCAGTGTTGATGGTTCTTACAGGGGCTTTCAGTGTTGATGGTTCTTACAGGGGCTTTCTGCGTTGATGGTTCTTACAGGGGCTTCCAGTGTTGATGGTTCTTACAGGGGCTTTCAGTGTTGATGGTTCTTACAGGGGCTTCCAGTGTTGATGGTTCTTACAGGGGCTTTCAGTGTTGATGGTTCTTACAGGGGCTTCCAGTGTTGATGGTTCTTACAGGGGCTTTCAGTGTTGATGGTTCTTACAGGGGCTTTCAGTGTTGATGGTTCTTACAGGGGCTTTCAGTGTTGATGGTTCTTACAGGGGCTTCCAGTGTTGATGGTTCTTACAGGGGCTTTCAGTGTTGATGGTTCTTACAGGGGCTTTCAGTGTTGATGGTTCTTACAGGGGCTTTCAGTGTTGATGGTTCTTACAGGGGCTTTCAGTGTTGATGGTTCTTACAGGGGCTTCCAGTGTTGATGGTTCTTACAGGGGCTTTCAGTGTTGATGGTTCTTACAGGGGCTTCCAGTGTTGATGGTTCTTACAGGGGCTTTCAGTGTTGATGGTTCTTACAGGGGCTTTCAGTGTTGATGGTTCTTACAGGGGCTTTCTGCGTTGATGGTTCTTACAGGGGCTTCCAGTGTTGATGGTTCTTACAGGGGCTTTCAGTGTTGATGGTTCTTACAGGGGCTTCCAGTGTTGATGGTTCTTACAGGGGCTTTCAGTGTTGATGGTTCTTACAGGGGCTTCCAGTGTTGATGGTTCTTACAGGGGCTTTCAGTGTTGATGGTTCTTACAGGGGCTTTCAGTGTTGATGGTTCTTACAGGGGCTTTCTGCGTTGATGGTTCTTACAGGGGCTTCCAGTGTTGATGGTTCTTACAGGGGCTTTCAGTGTTGATGGTTCTTACAGGGGCTTCCAGTGTTGATGGTTCTTACAGGGGCTTTCAGTGTTGATGGTTCTTACAGGGGCTTCCAGTGTTGATGGTTCTTACAGGGGCTTTCAGTGTTGATGGTTCTTACAGGGGCTTTCAGTGTTGATGGTTCTTACAGGGGCTTTCAGTGTTGATGGTTCTTACAGGGGCTTCCAGTGTTGATGGTTCTTACAGGGGCTTTCAGTGTTGATGGTTCTTACAGGGGCTTTCAGTGTTGATGGTTCTTACAGGGGCTTTCAGTGTTGATGGTTCTTACAGGGGCTTTCAGTGTTGATGGTTCTTACAGGGTCTTTCTGCGTTGATGGTTCTTACAGGGACTTTCTGCGTTGATGGTTCTTACAGGGGCTTTCAGTGTTGATGGTTCTTACAGGGACTTTCAGTGTTGATGGTTCTTACAGGGGCTTTCTGCGTTGATGGTTCTTACAGGGGCTTTCAGTGTTGATGGTTCTTACAGGGGCTTTCAGTGTTGATGGTTCTTACAGGGGCTTTCAGTGTTGATGGTTCTTACAGGGTCTTTCTGCGTTGATGGTTCTTACAGGGGCTTTCAGTGTTGATGGTTCTTACAGGGGCTTTCAGTGTTGATGGTTCTTACAGGGGCTTTCAGTGTTGATGGTTCTTACAGGGACTTTCAGTGTTGATGGTTCTTACAGGGGCTTTCAGTGTTGATGGTTCTTACAGGGGCTTTCAGTGTTGATGGTTCTTACAGGGGCTTTCAGTGTTGATGGTTCTTACAGGGGCTTTCTGCGTTGATGGTTCTTACAGGGGCTTCCAGTGTTGATGGTTCTTACAGGGGCTTTCAGTGTTGATGGTTCTTACAGGGGCTTCCAGTGTTGATGGTTCTTACAGGGGCTTTCAGTGTTGATGGTTCTTACAGGGGCTTCCAGTGTTGATGGTTCTTACAGGGGCTTTCAGTGTTGATGGTTCTTACAGGGGCTTTCAGTGTTGATGGTTCTTACAGGGGCTTTCAGTGTTGATGGTTCTTACAGGGGCTTCCAGTGTTGATGGTTCTTACAGGGGCTTTCAGTGTTGATGGTTCTTACAGGGGCTTTCAGTGTTGATGGTTCTTACAGGGGCTTTCTGCGTTGATGGTTCTTACAGGGGCTTTCAGTGTTGATGGTTCTTACAGGGGCTTTCAGTGTTGATGGTTCTTACAGGGGCTTTCAGTGTTGATGGTTCTTACAGGGGCTTTCAGTGTTGATGGTTCTTACAGGGACTTTCAGTGTTGATGGTTCTTACAGGGGCTTTCAGTGTTGATGGTTCTTACAGGGGCTTTCAGTGTTGATGGTTCTTACAGGGGCTTCCAGTGTTGATGGTTCTTACAGGGGCTTTCAGTGTTGATGGTTCTTACAGGGGCTTTCAGTGTTGATGGTTCTTACAGGGGCTTTCTGCGTTGATGGTTCTTACAGGGGCTTCCAGTGTTGATGGTTCTTACAGGGGCTTTCAGTGTTGATGGTTCTTACAGGGGCTTTCTGCGTTGATGGTTCTTACAGGGACTTTCTGCGTTGATGGTTCTTACAGGGGCTTTCAGTGTTGATGGTTCTTACAGGGACTTTCAGTGTTGATGGTTCTTACAGGGGCTTTCTGCGTTGATGGTTCTTACAGGGGCTTTCAGTGTTGATGGTTCTTACAGGGGCTTTCAGTGTTGATGGTTCTTACAGGGGCTTTCAGTGTTGATGGTTCTTACAGGGGCTTTCAGTGTTGATGGTTCTTACAGGGGCTTCCAGTGTTGATGGTTCTTACAGGGGCTTTCAGTGTTGATGGTTCTTACAGGGGCTTTCAGTGTTGATGGTTCTTACAGGGGCTTTCTGCGTTGATGGTTCTTACAGGGGCTTTCAGTGTTGATGGTTCTTACAGGGGCTTTCAGTGTTGATGGTTCTTACAGGGGCTTTCAGTGTTGATGGTTCTTACAGGGGCTTTCAGTGTTGAGGTTCTTACAGGGACTTTCAGTGTTGATGGTTCTTACAGGGGCTTTCAGTGTTGATGGTTCTTACAGGGGCTTTCAGTGTTGATGGTTCTTACAGGGGCTTCCAGTGTTGATGGTTCTTACAGGGGCTTTCAGTGTTGATGGTTCTTACAGGGGCTTTCTGCGTTGATGGTTCTTACAGG